TTTCTGTCTCTCTCCCACTCTCTCTCTCTCTGTCTCTCTCTCTGTCTCTCTCTCTCTCCATCTCTCTCTCCCTATCTGTCTCTGTCTCTCTCTCTCTCTCTCTATATATATATATATATGTATGTATATATTGAAAGTCCTAACGATCATAACAAATAGTTCATCACCATTATAAGTGTCTGAAGATTGTAAATAATATGAAATCTCGAGTCGTACTTTCGACGTTTTAATATATATATATATATATATATATATATATATATATATATATATATATATATATATATATCGTTTTGAAATGTTATGAGTCTCACTAAGTAGTCCTTATTCACAAGGTTCTGAAGTCTGGTCATTTTATTTCTGTACATAAACAGTAAACACGTTTATTATACTCTTTTTCTCTCATTTTCTCCGCCTAGTTTAGATGTGGCACAAGGCCGAAAGCACGGAGTACTCATTGACGTTCGAATTCACTATTCAGTCGTAATCGATGTAGCGAGACAAGCTTGCCAACCATTAGACCACAGAAATGTCGTTTTCTCATTTCACAGGCACACACACACGTACAAACACACACACACACACACACACATATATATATATATATATATATATATATATATACATATATGTGTGTGTGTGTTATTTTGGAATGAATGAAATATAGTGTGAACTTGTTCAAAGTGTAATTTAGTGAACCATCAGATTTATCACGGATCAAGTCACTTCTAACTTGTGACCGGCGTCAGTGTACTCCGTTCTACAAGGGAGTGGAGTGTATATTTGCCGACAATATGTACGGCTTCCTGTCGGTCCAACTTCAAAGCGAAAATAGCAAAATGCGTAAAAAGACGAAAGGCATAGTTTTCATAAAAAAAAAAAATAAATAAATTGACATAAAACTTTAGGCGGTTGTTGGGATTTAGTGTGAGAAAAGGTGTTTTTAACTTCGAGTGTGCAAAACAGAGGATAATGCATTGCCAGTAAAATACGAAGGTTGATTTTTGTTATGATGTCTGGGAAAAGACGGCCCGATTATTTGAACAGGATTTCTTATCTTATGTTTTCTTTTCTTTACTTTTCTTTTCTTTCTTTCTTTTTTTTCTTTTCTTTTCTCTTTCTTTCTTTCTTTCTTAAATAAATGTAATAGTTAAGTAGTAGGTTTATTAAAACAAATTATTTTATTTATGTTATACTAAACTGATTGCTTTCTATTGTATCCTCAAAGGGATTACAAACATACAAAGGTGGTACTCGAGTGAAAGGAACAGCAACACAGGCGTAGATGTAAGAAAGAAAGGTTTATTGTAAACGTGTTGTGACCAAGTAATTGTTTAAAGAAATAACAAGTACTACATAAACAGTAAGTACAACAGATGAGTATTACACGACTAGTGAGTGTGTATCGGTTGACCCAGCGTTCAATCTATTCAACTGTTAATATTTAAGAGCCCCTACCCACGAAGAATGTATGTGGCACAAGGCCGAGTTTACTGTGGATTTTCCAAGCCCGTAGCCTCGGCCAAAGATATTCCTTTAGAACCCGCATTAGCGCGTTCAGTGACTGTTTACCTCCCCGGACGAAACTTTGTCCTTCGGCAAAGCCTTGTCCGTGTTCCTCTCTTCCGAGTCGGAGAGTTTGACAGTTACGAATAGTCTGGTCGACTGTCAATATTTAACAGCCCCCATCCACCACGTGGGATGTAAGTGGCACAATGCCGAGTTTAGCGTGGGTTCTCCGAGCACGTAGATTCGGCCAAAAATATTCCCTTAGAAGCCGTATAAACGGGTTCAGGGCCAGTCTCCTTCCCCGGACGAAACTTTGCCCTGCGGGAAAGCCTCGTCCAAATTCCTCTCTGCCGAGGCAGAGAGTTTCCCTTAGACGCCGCATAGACAGGGACTGTCTACCACCCCGGACGCAACTTTACCCTGCGGCAAAGCCTCGTCTGGGTTCCTCTCTGCCGAGTCAGAGAGTTCGACAATGAATAGTCTGGTCGACTCTTAACAGTCTCCCCAAGAGTGATGTATGTGGCACAAGACCGAGTTTGCCGTGGGTTCTCCGAGCTCGTAAGCTCGGCCAAAAATATTCCCTTTGAACCCACCTAAACGTTTTCAGGAACTGTCTACCTCCCCGGACGAAACTTTGCCCTGTGGCAAAGCCTCGTCCGAGTTCCTCTCCGCCGAGGCGGAGAATTTGACAGCAATAAACAGTCTGTGCGACTCTTCCCCCAAGGCCTTCTCTCCTACTAATCCTATAGCAGTTGGAAGAGTCCAATGTAGACGCTTTAGAGGGAGAAAACCACAACAAAAAGAGAATACACTACTGAAAGACAGGGAATCGGTTAGCAGGCTAATAATTCCCGAAGCAAGGATGTCTATCAACTGCCCCACGCGATCAGGTAAGGCACGTGGGGCATCCGAGCCCATAGGCTCGGTCAAAAATTCCCCGGATAAAGCGGGGTCGGGTAGCTGTTTCCCGAGAAGAGACTCTGCCTCGTCTGGGGATCCTCTCTGTCCGGAGGCAGAGAGTTTGACAGCTGGGGACAAATCTCCAACTAATTGCCGAAACAAGGTTATTTACCTTACCTACCCGCGAGGCAGGATGTGGTACAATGCCGATTTTTAATGCGGGGCAAAACCGAGCCCGTAGACTCGGGCCAAAAATCACCATAGACCCCGTATACAGAAACAAAAAAAAAAAAAAAAGAGTGCTGACATGCCTGGAAAATTGGACACTGAAATACCAGGGAAATAGAAGAAAACAATAGACAATCACAATGACGAATTTCTAGCATAACAAAGACCAAAATTAATCAAAAAGGGTAAAAAAAAAAAAAAAACAAAAAAAAACACAGAACGCTGTGGAGGAGTATAAAAGAAGGTTTATTTGTACCCATTGCTTTCACAGCGCGCATGCTCATGTGGTTAGTGAGTTAGCGTTCTGGCATTGAGATCTGTTTTCGAATCTCGCCGCGGTTAATTTATCAAGGAAGTCCTGACGAGTCCAGCACGCTGCACCATTGCGAAGTGCCTGAAAACTATGCTACATACTAACCCAAGTCTTGTGAGTTAAATTGGGTCGACGAAACTGTTCGTTCATGGTTATGCTAGCTCAAAATCACAAGTCATCGTGACCGAGGATTCAAGCCTAGCTGCGGTATTCAATTACTGATCTCGCCAGATTATGCGCCCTCACCCCAAATCTGTAACTAACGACCGTTCAGCACAGTTGGATTATAAAGCACAGGTTGGTTCTCATGTACTTTCAAAAAGTTTTCATTTATTTATTCATTTTTTTATATTTGAAATCACTCTATCTGCTGAGGCACGTTGGAGTAATTGATAGCGGCTCGGATTGAGGTATCAGAGAGCCGAGTTCGAATTCCAGTCAGATCCATTACATTCACTTACGTGATAATAACCTTGGGAAAGGTATGAATCCTCTTCTCCTCCCAGCTATGGTTCTATGCCTTGGATGGCATCTGGTCTACCACAGAAAGAAATGGCAACCTACTGCGGGAAAAAAATCTGCCTTGTCAGTCATGTATCGAAAGATACATGATCGCTTAAGCGTGTATCACGCATGGCACATAACTGACTATCTGTTGAAGGTTATTCAACCGAGAATGCTTTAATAAAAACTATAAGACGAAATAAAAAAAATAAATGATGGTATGTTATTCTATAGTAAATAATATCTCTTCTTATATGGTTCATACAAATTTCATACAACTCAATGATAGATGAAAGTGGTTAAAATTAAAAGCACGTCTTAGATAATTTTAATCAACGGCTTTATCAGACGGTCATTTCCTGTGTTGCCACATAACCTATTCTAATTCAGCAAAGAATTTGGAATCACCATGGCGCGCGTCTTCGCTCAAACTCTTCCCGAAAATTAATTATGACATTATGGAGGAATGCTTTATCTATTTGACATATGAAAAATCTCTTATGAAGCTGTCCTCTTTCCTGCAAAAAAAAAAAAAAAAAAAAAAAGGCAGATTAATCAAGGCATAAAGAAGGACAGTCATTTGTTCCCGGGTTTAGGAATAAAATGGTTCATATAACATTTAATACTACAGTGAATCAGTCGATAGGGTCGCCGTCCCCATAATTTTTTCAGTCGGTTTTAGGTTCGTTTTACGGTCCGTTGAAAGTTGTCGATGCATTGGTTATTTTTGTAGTGTACTCAGTCTAATGAACGGCTGATCTTGTTGATGGAGGCGGTTGTCTCTTTTGTAGTGAAGGTTTTATGATATCAACAATGTGGTTATACGTATTTTGTGTGAACGAGTTATCAAAGAATGAGGGGGTGGGGAAGAAATGAGAAAGAATAAATGGGTGGGTTAGAAAAGTAGAAAGAAAGGAGTAAAAAAGAAATGAAAGAAAAATCCTTTAAATACCTAACGGCGGGAAGACGTTCCAAAGAAAGGAAGAAAGGAAAAGGAAATAGAAAAGAGGGAGACCGTTTAAAGGCAGGATATAAGAAAGAAAGAACGGAGAAAAAAAAAGCAAGAAAGAAAAAAGTGAACGAAGAAGGAAAGAAGAAATGCTTAAAGGCGAAAAGTGGTTCACATGGAAGAAAGCAAACTAATACTATTTAAAAAAAGAAAGAAAGAAAGAAAGAAAGAAATGTAGGAGCTTAAAGAAACAAGCATATATGGAGAAGGAGGCTAAGAAAGAAAGAAAGAAAGAAAGAAAGAAAGAAAGAAAGAAAGAAAGAAAGAAAGAAAGAAAGACAGAAATGTAGGAGCTTAAAGAAACAAGCATATATGGAGAAGGAGGCTAAGAAAGAAAGAAAGAAAGAAAGAAAGAAAGAAAGAAAGAAAGAAAGAAAGAAAGAAAGAAAGACAGAAATGTAGGAGCTTAAAGAAACAAGCATATATGGAGAAGGAGGCTAAGAAAGAAAAGAAAGAAAGAAAGAAAAAAAAAAAAGAAAGAAAGAAAAAGACAGAAATGTAGGAGCTTAAAGAAACATATATATATGGAGAAGGAGG